AGGGAAAGAAAGTCCTTTCAACAAATTGTGTTAGAACTATTAGGTATGTGTATTAAACAAACAAAAAAACCCTCAATCCCTACTTTACACAATAAACAAAATATAATTGAAGAATTAATTCAAGATGGACCATAGATACCAATTTAGCAAAGCCAAAATATGGATGTTTAAGGAACTGGGCCTTCTATGGCCTCACAAGTAGTTAAATGAAAATTTTTGTTCTAACATAACCACAAAACATTACTGCTGTGTTGAAGAAGAAACTCTCTCCCTGGGTTAAAGAACATCACTGAAAACAAGAATGAGTTTTGAGTTTTGTTTTAATGTCATTTTAACAAGCTCCTTAGCTCAATAGAGGGCTCCAACCAAAAGGGATCAAATCACAGACACTGAGTTCACCCAAAGTCACTCATTCAACACACACTGCTAAGCACTATACCGACCAGTCAGCAGCCTTGCTTGTGAGCCCAGGAAAGCAATGATTACAGTATTATGTGATCATCAATATGATAAAGATTGAAATTCCTAATGTCAGCCTCAAAGTTTCTCCCAACAATTTCCTAGGTGCAAATATCTGAGCAAACTACACATTTTAACTAAATAAGGGCAGTCTGCTCTGCAGGAAAATAATTCCATTGTGCATTCCAACACCTTTGAGTCACCTCAATTCAGGTGTGCTGGTAAACGGTTTGGTTTGTTTTAGATTTTTTTTTTAATCTGGACCATTTTCAAAGTTTTTATTGAATTTGTTACAATATTGCTTCTGTTTTATGCTTTGGCTTTTTGGCCGGGAGGCACGTGGGACCTTAGTTCCCCCATCAGGGATGGAACCTGCACCCCCGGCACTGTAAGGCGAAGGCGTAACCACTGGACCGCCAGTGAAGTCCCCAGGTAAACGTTTCACAAGCGCGCTGGGGTGGGGGGAGGGCTGACTAGTAGTGTATACCAACATCCAGGGTGTGACGTCACTGAAGTGTGACAGCGCTGAATGCGGAGCTGGCAAGAGACACGGCTTATCACGCTACGTTATTTCCACCACACAGACACAACAGATGTCCATAACCTCAAGAGTACAGATAATAACTAAACATGGCAAATAAGGAAGTAATGAATTTTGAGCATTTTCACTCTGTTTTTAACATAATTTATGTAATCTTAAATTTATATAATTGAGTTTTCGATAATGGTTCTGTGAGCCAGTAGTGAACTGAACATAGCCTGAAGCATTCAAAGAAGTAGGATAAGAAGCACAACTGAAAGACATGGTCCACCGTGTATTTTTTTTTTTTTTTTTTTTTTTTGCGATACGCGGGCCTCTCACTGTTGTGGCCTCTCCCATTGTGGAGCACAGGCTCCGGATGCACAGGCTCAGCGGCCATGGCTCACGGGCCCAGCCGCTCCGCAGCATGTGGGATCTTCCCGGACCGGGGCACGAACCCGTGTACCCTGCATCAGCAGGCGGACTCTCAACCACTGAGCCACCAGGGAAGCCCTCACTGTGTATTTTATTACAGGCTTTTTTTTTTTTTCACGGACTCTTCCCTTCACTACGCGGACTAAATAGGCGATTTCCAAGAACCATACCACGTGTACTCTTTCAAAACCATCAATAGCACAAGTAGAGGCGGCCTGCACGCGGAAAGACGCCGGCCCGGTGTATGAAGACACTCCAAAGGGACAAAGAAGCTGCCTTAATATCAAGGTGCCAGAGTGCTTCCGGGAACAGGAACAAAATGTCTCCAGGCCGAGGCTGTCGGGGGCGGGGCCGGAAGGCGGAGGAGCCCGGCCGGAGACAACAGCGAGGGCAAGTTCGGCTCCAGCCCGGCCACTGACCTTGGCCAGACCTCGGGAACAGCCGGGCCACAGATGAGCTCCGGGAGCCCGCCCCGCCCCTGCGGCGCTCGGGCCCCCCAGGGGCGCTGCTGGGCCTGGGAGGCGTGGAGCCTGTCCCTTCCGGAGCCCGGGAAGTCGGCTCCTCGCGGCGCCACCGGCGAGCGCCCGTCCTTACCTTGACTGGCTGCGGCCATTTCGGCGAGCTCGTCTCGCGATGACACCTGTAGGGGCTCGGCTCGGTAAGGCGCGGAGTGGCGCGCCACTGTCGGCGCTAGCTGGATTCCGGCACGTGGGGTAGATGTTTCCATTCCCACGGCGGCGGCGGAAGAGGCGGGGCGGGGCGGGGCGGGGCGCGGGGGTCTTAGTCCCCTTCCCCGGGCGCAGCCGCTTCACAAGGCGCCAAGGGCGGTGTCACAAACCCCGCGGCGCCGCCCCCCAGGCCCGTCGGGGCGCGCGTGCGCAGAAGGCCTCTCACAGAGGAGTTACTCCGCCGCACGTAGTCTAGCTCGCAGCTCACCTGGAAGGGGGTTTCCCGTGTGCGACTGCAGTGCGGCCTTTCGCCAGAAGACTGCTTCACTCCTTACTTTACTAAAAATAAAGAAAGCGGGCTTGTAGTGTTGTTCATGTTAACATTGAGCACGTATTTATCAGTGCCCGCTCTGTGCCCGACGCTGTGCTACTGGAGGAAGACAGACATTTAAGAAACATTGCAGTCACAGTGACCGAGACGGGCTCAGAAAGGAAAGCCCTCGCTGCCCGCAGCGCCCGCCGAGCCCTTTAACCACGTGCCACGGCGCACCTCCCCGCCCCAGCCCCAAGCGGCAGCTTTCGCTGTTACTCCGTCTCAGTTCACGGCAACGCCACCTTTCCAAAGCCCTTGCTGTTATTCTGAACTCCTCTTTCTCAAAGCCCACAAACCCAGTTCATCAGCAACCAGCAGAAGCGCCACCTTCACAATGAATCCAGCCCTGCTCGCCCCTCCACTGCTTCCGTCCCAGCCCGAATCACAGTCGTTTCTCGCCCTCAGTTAACAGGTCACCTGCCCCTCAGGCACGCCTTCCATGACCATTCTCATTTAAAATTGCAGCCTGGTACACCCCTCCTTCCCCTTTTCCTACTTACTTTCCTTTTGGGCACAGTACTTATTTCACCTTCTAACATACGTAAGGTATTCCTGTCTTTCAGGTATTGCTTACCGTTTCTCAGTTGTTTCTTTTTCACTGCTCTGTGCCCAGTGCCTAAGACACTGTCTGGTTAGGACAAATGGGTAGTTGTGTGCTCTTTGGCAAACCATTAACCTCTCTGCCCCTCAGATGGTTCATCTGTACTCACTTTGAAGTCTTATTGTGAGGATTAAATCACATAATGTGTAAAGCTCATGACAGAATTATCACTCTGTATTGTGACTATGTATCTTACCTTTTTGTCCCCGCTGCTGCAGCATGACTCCCAGAAGACAGGAACTGGATTTTATTCGTCTCTGAAGCATGGACGTATAGCAAAAGAGTTAGGAGCAAGACTTCTGGAGCCAAATTAAATGGGTATGAATGCTACAATTTACAAACTGTGTGACCATGGCCAAGTTGCCTAACGCCTCTGTGCTTCAGTTTCATCACCTGTACGATGAAAACAAGAATGCTTGCTGCATTAGAAAGCACTTAGAACAGTTCCTGGAATATATTACATGCCAGCTATTATCTCTGCAAACTGGTGCCTGGCAGAGAGAAGGTCTCAGCAAATGTTTACCCAAGGGGCTTCTTCCTGATTGTTTCCAAGCTGGACAATACCTTGCCAGTGGCTCCCAAACACATTCCTATCCGTGCAGAAGTGGACTCTCCGTGATAACACTTCTTATAGAAACCCTGATCAAGGTTCTTATTAGCTCCTATACTTTGAGGCCCTTGGGAGGCTCTCATGCCTCCTAATATACATTAAACTGAGTAGGTTCTCTGCTTGAGCTCAGCATGGCTATATTTTGATGTAAGGAGATATAGCCTATACTCAGGCCAAATGTAAACAACTTTAAGAAGCATCAGGTAGCAACGATGCAAGGGAAATAGATACGTGGATGCTGGGTAGTTATGAGTGCTCTGTAAGCAAATGAAGCCAAGAGAGATATCGGTAGTGCCGGTGGGGCTAGAGAACTTACAGTGTCAAGGCGCTGGTCCAGATTTGAGCTCATTAGAAGGTGAGATTTGAGCCAAGACTTGAAGGAGATGTGGGAGTGGAAACGTGTGGCGATCTGGGAAAAGGGGCTTCAGGTAGAGGAAACAGCAGATGCTAAGGTCCAGGTGCAAGGGTGTGCTCGGTGTTTTAAGGAAGAGCAAGGAGGCCAGTAGCTGGAGTGAGATGAAACCTTGGAGGTGGGGGGAAGGGACATGCAGATCATGGGGAAGACTCTAGGCCATGGTCAAAATGTAGGATTATACTCTGAGTGAGGCCAGAAGCCAGTGGAGGTTTCTGGGCAGAGAAGTAACTGGATCCGCTTTATGGTTTTAAAGGTCATTCATTGGTGTCTGTGAAGGGCAAGGGTGGAAGCAGGGAGACGTTAGAATGTTACTCTTGCTGGTGCAGGTGTATTCCAGAATCTTCAACAACATCAGCCCCCTCTTTCCTTTCCTCAAAGGTTCTGAGCAAAGCAGCATTCTTGTGCCCCTGCTGCTTTCAGAGGTGAACGGGTTAAGCTTTAGCTCAGCCTCCCTTTTCCTACTCAGTTCTTCCTGTGGCTGCTTCCCACTGCCAAAAAGGAAGCAATCCTATCCGTCACTGCTGAGCGCTAATGCTGCTGTCACTCCAGCCAGTCAAGTTCCCTAAAGTCCTTTGAGAAAATTTTGGGACTTTTCCCTAAATCATACAAAATTTACCTTTTTTCTCCTGGGAGCCAAAGATATTTTTAGAGAAGAATTAATCTTTCGTTTCTCCAGTCGAACATTTTCTAGCAATCAGAGCCATGCAAATAGAGCTCTCCACCTGCTTCTTTCTGTGCCTTTTGCCTTTCAGCTTTGGTGCCGTCAGAAGATACTACCTGGGCGCGGTGGAACTGTCCTGGGACTATATGCAAAGTGAACTGCTCAGTGAGCTGCACGTGGACACAAGGTAAAGGCCTGTTCTAGTTGGGCCGGTCAGGATGGTGGGGCTGTGACTCTGGCTGTTTTGTCCATTGCTTCTCTTTGTCACATGCTGCCACACTGGAAACTAGAGAGTGGAGTAGAGTGAGGGCGAAGAGGCAAGCAGCATAAGAGACAGAACGAAACTTCCCTCAGCCTACCCCACAGCTTCCACAGGGAGAAGAGCCCTAAGACCCATCAATATTACACGCAATTTTGCTGTAAGGATAGCATTAGCCATGAGTTCAGAAACTTTTCCTTTTTTCTGGGTTCTGGTGCATTTGGGGAGAGTAGTATTAAATAATCTTTCCAATATTATCTATGGTCGTTGATTTATTCAGATTTTTCTACCTCCTCTTCAGTCAATATTGGTTATATACATTTTCCTAGAAAGCAATCGGTTATCCCTAGATTTGATAATGTATTGGTATCAAGTTACATAATAGTCTTGTGATATTGTTAAACTGTTCTGTGTCTGTAGTTATATCTCCATTCTTAGCTTGTGTATGTTCTCTTTACCTCTCATAAATAATATTTCCAGGAAGTTTCTCGATTTTATTGCTTTTGTCAGGACGCATCTTTTGGTTCTATCAATTTCTGTTTTTACTTTCATCAATTCATTTCTTCTTCCTAGCTTCCTTTGGTTCATTTAGTTGATCTAACTTTTTGCTTATTGAGTTGAATGCTGAAGTCATTTGTTTTAAATTTTGTTTTGTTTTCTTTAAATGTGTATTATAAAGATTTAAACCCAGTGCATATATAATGGTAATGTAAATATTAAATATGGTCACGGCATACATACGTTACAATCTTTTCTGTTCTTTTTGCTTTGCTCCACACTCTCCTTCTACTTGAGCCCCCTTCTTGATTATCCCCAATCAGGTAACCCTAGAATGGTGATATATATTCATGTACACGCACGTACGCACATATATGCAAATAAAGGTTTTCTTGGTCATTGTTTTACAAAAATGGGATATTATACACTATTCTCACTCACTGACACCTAGTAGAATTCTGTCCAAGTCAGTTGGCATAACTCCAATCTTTTTAATGGCTAAATAAAATTCCCTATTATTCCAGGTTTTTGGCCATTATATCCTATATCATTACATACTGATGCTTTTATTCCTATAGGACAGATTCTCAAGAGGGATATTGCTGGAATGAAGGGAATATTTCCTTTTTAGTTTTAATTTCCAAAAAGGCTAGAACTCTTCAAACATTGCTACCATCAACATATAGGAGTGCCCTTCTCCCTGCATTCACATCAGCAATAAGTTTTACCTTGTTTTTTAATCTTTGCCCATCTAGTAGGTATGGAGTGATATTTCATCATTACAATAATCACATTCCTTTTATTTCTAATGAGGCTGAACATCTTTTTAAATGCTTGTTGACTATTGCATTTATATTTTGAGAGTTGACTATTCACATGTTTTGCCCAGTTTTCTTTGGGCTCTTTCACTTTTTTTTAGATTATGAGAACTATATATTTTATTCTTGCAAGTATTAATAGCCTATCGCAAGGCACCGTTTATCAAACAATACATCTTTTGCCACTGATTTGAATAAAAACATTCATCATATAAAATTCTCATATATATTAGTATCTATTTCATTAAATTTCATTAAATTTATACATAAATTTTATTAATATAATAAATGTAAGTAATTTATTATATTTATCCCTATGCATTTTATAAATATGTTGCTATTGTTAATCAAATGTTTTCTCCTATGTTCTTGATGTTAAGTACCAGAATAGAGAAAAGCTATTGGTTTGTGTATATTCATCTCAAATCTAGCTACCTTACTGAATTCTCATATAAATTCTAATAATTTTACATGGCAGTCTCTATGTGTATTGAATCATATTCAAAATAAGACAGATTCTAGCTCTTTTCCAATGTTTAATCAGTTATTTCTTTTTCTTATCTTATTGATTTTACTTGAAACAGTCTTCATATTTTGCTTTTTAGAATAACATTTGCTGTTTGTTCTTGATAAGTGTCTTTGTTACTCCTTGCCATAAAATTTTCATTAGTAATGGCTTTTCAGCATTCTAGCATCATATGAATTTTGGCCTTTAATATGTTGAGGACAAATAGATTATGTCAATAAACTTCCTGACATTATATATCCTTACATTTTTGGAGTAAAATCTAATGTTCATGCAATTTGATTATTGTTGGGTTCTATGTGCTAATATTTTTTTAGACACTGTGTGCCTTTATTATGTGGGATTGATCTATAGCTTTATTTTTTGATTGAAGTATACTTGATTTATAATATTGTGTTAGTTTGAAGTGAGGAACATAGTGATTCAGTATTTTTACATATTATATTCCATCATAGGTTTTTAGAAGATAATGGTTACAGTTCCCTGTGCTATACTGTATATCCTTGTTGCTTACCTATTTTATATATAGTAGTTTGTGTCTGTTAATCCCATACCCTTAATTTGTCTCTCCCCCCTTCCCTCTACCCTTTGATAACCATGTTTGTTTTCTATATCTGTGAGTCTGTTTCTGTTTTGCATATACATTCATTTGTATTATTTTTTAGATTCCACATATGAGTGAAATATATAATATTTGTCTTTCTGTGTCTGACTTATTTCACTAAGCATAATATTCTCTAGGTCCTAAGCATAATATTCTCTAGGTCCATCCATGTTGCTACAGATGGCAAGATTTCATTCTTTTTTATGGCTGAGTAGTATTCCATTGTGTGTGTGTGTGTGTGTGTGTGTGTGTGTGTGTGTGTGTATTATACACTATTCTCACTCACTGACACCTAGTAGAATTCTGTCCAAGTCAGTTGGCATAACTCCAATCTTTTTAATGGCTAAATAAAATTCCCTATTATTCCAGGTTTTTGGCCATTATATCCTATATCATTACATACTGATGCTTTTATTCCTATAGGACAGATTCTCAAGAGGGATATTGCTGGAATGAAGGGAATATTTCCTTTTTAGTTTTAATTTCCAAAAAGGCTAGAACTCTTCAAACATTGCTACCATCAACATATAGGAGTGCCCTTCTCCCTGCATTCACATCAGCAATAAGTTTTACCTTGTTTTTTAATCTTTGCCCATCTAGTAGGTATGGAGTGATATTTCATCATTACAATAATCACATTCCTTTTATTTCTAATGAGGCTGAACATCTTTTTAAATGCTTGTTGACTATTGCATTTATATTTTGAGAGTTGACTATTCACATGTTTTGCCCAGTTTTCTTTGGGCTCTTTCACTTTTTTTTAGATTATGAGAACTATATATTTTATTCTTGCAAGTATTAATAGCCTATCGCAAGGCACCGTTTATCAAACAATACATCTTTTGCCACTGATTTGAATAAAAACATTCATCATATAAAATTCTCATATATATTAGTATCTATTTCATTAAATTTCATTAAATTTATACATAAATTTTATTAATATAATAAATGTAAGTAATTTATTATATTTATCCCTATGCATTTTATAAATATGTTGCTATTGTTAATCAAATGTTTTCTCCTATGTTCTTGATGTTAAGTACCAGAATAGAGAAAAGCTATTGGTTTGTGTATATTCATCTCAAATCTAGCTACCTTACTGAATTCTCATATAAATTCTAATAATTTTACATGGCAGTCTCTATGTGTATTGAATCATATTCAAAATAAGACAGATTCTAGCTCTTTTCCAATGTTTAATCAGTTATTTCTTTTTCTTATCTTATTGATTTTACTTGAAACAGTCTTCATATTTTGCTTTTTAGAATAACATTTGCTGTTTGTTCTTGATAAGTGTCTTTGTTACTCCTTGCCATAAAATTTTCATTAGTAATGGCTTTTCAGCATTCTAGCATCATATGAATTTTGGCCTTTAATATGTTGAGGACAAATAGATTATGTCAATAAACTTCCTGACATTATATATCCTTACATTTTTGGAGTAAAATCTAATGTTCATGCAATTTGATTATTGTTGGGTTCTATGTGCTAATATTTTTTTAGACACTGTGTGCCTTTATTATGTGGGATTGATCTATAGCTTTATTTTTTGATTGAAGTATACTTGATTTATAATATTGTGTTAGTTTGAAGTGAGGAACATAGTGATTCAGTATTTTTACATATTATATTCCATCATAGGTTTTTAGAAGATAATGGTTACAGTTCCCTGTGCTATACTGTATATCCTTGTTGCTTACCTATTTTATATATAGTAGTTTGTGTCTGTTAATCCCATACCCTTAATTTGTCTCTCCCCCCTTCCCTCTACCCTTTGATAACCATGTTTGTTTTCTATATCTGTGAGTCTGTTTCTGTTTTGCATATACATTCATTTGTATTATTTTTTAGATTCCACATATGAGTGAAATATATAATATTTGTCTTTCTGTGTCTGACTTATTTCACTAAGCATAATATTCTCTAGGTCCTAAGCATAATATTCTCTAGGTCCATCCATGTTGCTACAGATGGCAAGATTTCATTCTTTTTTATGGCTGAGTAGTATTCCATTGTGTGTGTGTGTGTGTGTGTGTGTGTGTGTGTGTGTGTGTGTGTGTAAAACACATCTTCTTAAGTCATTTGTCTGTTGATGGGCACTTGGGTTGTTTCCATGCCTTGGCTATTGTAAATAGTGCTGCTGTGAACATTGGGGTACATGTATCTTTTCAAACTACTGTTTTCATTTTTTTCTGGATATATAACTTTATTTTTTACTATTATTATTAGATTTTGGTATTAAAGTTTTATTGGCTTTATCAGATGAATTGGTGAGTGTTCTATCCTTTTCTATTGCCTAAAATAGCTCAAATAACATTAGAGTTATCTGTTGTTTTAAAGTTAGATAAGATTCACATATGAATCCATTTGGTCCAAGTGACATTTGCAATATCTTTAATCATCTCTTCAGGCTCTTCTATGTTAACTAGTCAAATCAAAATTCAACTTATTTTTGGAGTCAGCTTTAATAATTTTATAC